CCCCCGAAGGTCCTCCGTGTATCATGTGGATAAACCCTCCTGCTGCCGGTTGGTCCTTCCTCTCGTCGGTCTTATCTCGAACATTCTCCGATCGATTAACCCCAGGCCGGGTACGCGGGGCCGGTGTGCTCGCGGGAGGCTGTCCAGGTTTGACGAATTCGGGCAAATTTTTCGCCCGAATCAACCTCTCTATCTCATCTCTAAGATGCTGACACTCGTTTGTCGTATGTCCATAATCATTATGAAAACGACAAAAACTTCCCGCGACCGGGTTCCTCTTGGGGACTTCAGAATAGGTGCGAGGCCATTTCAACTTGGGATGATTCTCGATGGCCATCAAGATCTCGGCAGGAGGTGCCACCAACGAGACATAGTTCTCGAATCGAGGGCCCGTTATTCTTTCCACCAATCCTTCCTTTTTGACTGAAGGGACAAGTCTCTGTACTTTCTCTTCTCGCCTTTCCTTTCTTTTATCCATTATTTTGTCTACGGCTTTACCCTGCTCGGCTTCCTCAGAATTCATATATCGCTCCGCCTTTCTTAATAAATCATTAAATGAAAGAGGCGGCTTTTTGGATATGGAAGTGAAGAAATCTCCAAGTCGTAATCCTTGGGCCAAGGCATTGATCAGGACCTCCTCCGAAGTTATAGGCACCTCCAAAGTGGCCGTTATAAAACGCTTAATGAAACTTCGTAGATGCTCTCCTTCTCGCTGCTTAACCGCGAAGAGAGTCAAAGTGCTCCTCTTCTGTTTCTTGGAGCTCGCAAAATGATCGAGGAAAACAGAAGCGAGCTGATCAAAACTGCCTATTGAGGAGGGTCGGAGCTGGCTAAACCATGCTTGAGCTGGTCCCGCCAAAGTAGTAGTGAATACCCTACATTTTACTCCTTCCGAAAAACGATGCAGGTCCGCAGTGTTGTTAAATCTGCATAGATGCTCGCTAGGATCGGTGGTTCCTAGATATTCGTACGTGACAGGTCGGAACGAACCTGGAAGCTCATCATTCAATATTTGTGTAGTGAACGGGCTTCTTTTGGTCTGCACATGCTCTCGCGACTCCTCTGGAGCGAATGCCGCGTTCAATGACTCTCGTTCCGGGACAAGCTCAGTCTGGTCCGTATATTTCAAACGCCTTTTCGTGGGAGGCAAACCCTCTCGCTCTCTTCTCTCGCTGGGCGACCCCCCTTGGACTACGGATGTGAGTAGAGTCTGGAGTGATTCCATGGTTATAGTTATCGTGGGCCCGGCGATTGCAGGGTCCGGAGTGTGCAAAACCTCCACCTGGCGGGCAGACGTACTTCCCAGGTAAGGTCCCTGTAAGTCAGGGTCAGGTGCTGGACTAATTTCAGCCTCCGCCGGATCGGGTCGACCAGCCCTTTCAACAGGGGTATCCATCTTTAGATTTTTTCTGAATTTGGAAGAAAGTGATTTTGGAAGAAAGAACAGGATACTTTTTGGAAGGGCTTTTATGCTATTTGTATTTAAATCGTTCCCACAGACGGCGCCATTTGATTCGTCCGAATATATTGATGGATCTTCTAGATCCGTATAAGTTGATGAATTTCTTGGACTCTGCAAATAAGAACCCAAAAAAGGGAACCCGGGCTGATGCCGGAGTTAGCACTCCGACGATCAAATCAGTATGGTTTTGATTTAGGAAAAAAGAGAAAGGATTATAGGTTTTCTTGGGTTTTTATTGTTTTTCTTTTTTCGAAGGGTGTTCTGGGAGAATTAATTTCGGGCTATTTATAGAGAACTTTTTTGTTTTAGAACGGATTTCAAATACGGACTTCAATTCCATTTTAACTGTCATTTCAGGGACGTTTCAGACTTTTCGAAACTATTAAATTAAACTTCCCTGTCTTCTCGGTGAGCAGTGTTATGAACAGTGTTGTGAGCTGCTTATTCCCTAGACTGCATATTCTCTGAACGCTTTTGACATTGGGGGGGGGGGGGGGGGGAATTAAACGCA